AACGGCATCTTGATATGTTCTTGTATACATGTGAACTGTTATTTTGAATGTTTAGAAATACCGTGATATGGTAAAAGTGAAAGTAATTTTAAAAAAATTTGTTATTCGTGTGACTGTAAAGATTAAATCATGCTGAATATGTGTTAAAGGTTGAATGATGTAGTTAGGCTCTCTGACGCTACACTTTAGAGTTAGCCACTTTCAGAATAGTACCTCAGGGTCTAGAGTTGAAATTAGGGTGTGTTAAGAGGTCTCGTATGTTGAATTTTAACACGTTAGTGTTTTGATTGTAGGAGGAAGTGTTGAACACATAGACAGAAACACATTCGTGTTTGGTGTTTTTTACAACACATGTCAGAGAGCACGGGAGAGATAATTAAAATAGTCATGAATGAAATAAGAATGTTAAGAAAAGTATATTCTATATGTTACTTTGCAATGTCATTCTGTAACATTTCATTAAACTAGTTTTTCCTTCCAGATCTCTGGAAGGAAACCAGAATTGAATAAAGCTCCTGTTTTGATGCAGTACAGATGAAAAGAAAAAGATTGTTGTATATTCCGGGAGCTGCTATTGTAACAAATTTCTTTCTTTTAAAAATTTTCTAGTTTCTAGTTAAGTTATGATTGTAAAAGTTTGGCCTCGCGTTAGTTTCTAGAGCTAAAAGTTTTCAACAAGGTCGTTTTAGACCTCAGTTTCAAACTAATTAACTCTGGCGGGAAGTATGTAAGGATCTTAAGTTTTACTAACGTTTTATTTTATTTTAAATCTTTACTATCACTTCTTATTTTCTACTTCCTTCCGGCCAGAATTATAAGCGTGAAGGAGTTTATGCAAAGTTTGTCTGGCGAACGCCAAGTATTTAAGTGTGGCCTTTTTGCCAAGCAGAGAGAGGAAGCCGTGATTTCGAAGCAGGCCGCTTACCTTAGAAGTTACGCAGTTGCTACTTTGCCTTCCAGGCCAGAGTTTTAATCCTCTTGATAAAATTAAACGTATTGTAGTGTTCACAGTCTCTGTGCTACATACGCTTTCTGTTATTATAAGGCCAATCTTATTCTAAAGTTAAATTAGAGTTTAGTTTTATTTTGATATCTTTTAAGTTAGACCCCGAGTGGAGGGTCATTGTATTCCGAAGTACGGAAGTCATTGTATATAAAGAAAAAAATAAAGGGTTTTGTATACCCTTCGTCTGTATCCTGTCTACTTACTACAATTAGTGAACATAGCTTTAGTAAGCTCTCTGTTCTAGTCAGGTCATTGTATGTTTCCGAAGAAGGTTAGAAGAAACATTGAACCTGATAAGAGTACCGCTTGTTAAAGTGCTTTAAAATGTACAGAGTCCGAAAAACAATATTTTAATCCAATATTAGCGTAATATGTGCTGAATAACATATTTTGAGATATTTTGTTTTAGTTAAAAATTAACGTAAGGTGCTTGTTAATCGTTGATACTTATCCATTGCCATAACATCTGACTGGCACAGCGTACCATGTCTTCCTTAAATAAGTACTTTCCGATTTCTTGCAGACTGTTCTGCTTACCACTCACAAGTATAAGTGAATTTTTCATGATGCAACACCAGCATGCTTTACCACCACCGTCTCACAATTCCTGAATGTCACATGTTAACACGAAAAGAAATGATGCCAAAGATCTTAGAGTTTTATTTAACTTGAGAAATTTTGCAATATCTAGTAAAAAAAAAGTAGAAAGCTAGCGGCCATTTTTTTTGTGTTTTGATGCTATTCTAATGAAATTATGCTGAGCATGTTCTAAGGTGCGGATGATAAGAATGTCCGTCGAGGTAAAATATGTATAGATTTCTCATTTGTGTGTGTAATTTCTGTTAACAGTAATATTAAAGATTAGACAGCCCTCTACAGTTGTGAATTTAATGAACTTTGTTTATGTGTGTGATTGGATTTGATGTCCGTACATCTTGCAGGCTGTTTCGGTTACCACTCACAAGGACATGTGAGTTTTCATGATGCAGCTATAGCGTACTTTATCACCACCTTTAGAGAATTCCTGAACGTCACATATCCCAGACGAAGGACTGGTGGCGGTGAATCTGTAGCTTGGCTTCCATGTTAACTGAAACTAAGTCCATTGCACTTCTCAAAGAATTTGAAATCATCACCCACAGAAGCAGCTATCGAGAGAATCTTTTTGCAGGAATAAACTTGGCGCCAGGAATCCAGGGAGAATGCTTCATTCTTTCATTCACCAATGTGAACTGAATAAAGATACCCTTTTTCTGAAGAAGATTATGCAACTTATGATTTCTCTTTCATTTATGATTTACTTTTTCTTTTACTGTGTAGGGATTTATATTAATTTTAACTAATAATTTAAAGTTTTATTTGAAACTTTCCTATAAACCTTCATTCACCTAATCGTCAGTTCCAGAATACTCGTAGGTAAATTTTGTAGCGCGTCTGAACGAATGCAAATTTTCTACTTTGAAGGAAATAGTTAAAAGCCGAGTTTCGGTAGGAGAGAGAGTAAGGCTTTAAGCGCCGTCTCTGCCGTAGGGTACGTTTGCTTATTGCTGGTTCAAGTGGCTTAATTGCATTTATATCCTGGCACTAGCTTCGAAGGGGATTTAAGCTACGGGACATAGCCTAGCTCTGTAGTCTAGGTCTATCGTTTGTTAATATTTTCAAATTTTAGTTTAATTACGTGATTTTCAGTTACCGCCCAAGCAGAGGCGAAGTTTGTTAGCGTCGAGTTGACGCATTGTAAATTTTTAAAAGATTTAATAGAGGGTATTTTAACCCTTCTCTTGTGTAGTTTTCTGCTACTCCAATTTCAGATAGAAGTTCGCCCATCTGGACTCTACATTTGAAATGTTAAGCTTGACATTTAACTTTCCGCTTTCCGCTTTCCTGGCAGTCTGAATGGAATACGCTTTTAGGTTTTTCCGTAAATATTGTTCATATTAATAGGTACTATTTCTTCTCTTATTTAACTGAAACACTTTAAGAACACTTTACATATATGAACATTTTGTATTTAAGAACCTTTTTAAAAAGACACTTTGCATATATATACACAAAAAGAGAGCGAAGCAAAACACAAAAGATAAAATATAACAATGTAAAGCGCGCAAAACGTTGCAGTAAGATAAAAGTCATTAATATAGATTCAAGTTTGTTTATGTTGCAACATTATCGCAAAGAAAATAACATACTAATTAATTTTACAACAAGCAAATGCAAAATGTGCAGTTGAAACCTGTTTTAACATTTTAAAATTTACTTTTCAAAAAATATATTTATAGATGTTGATGCAAAAAAACAAGAATCTTCTATAAGCTATTATTAAATGTATATCTACTGTACACATAGGCGTACAATTCTGTTCATTTTGTTCCTAAAGAAATGAAGTTACTTAAATCTTTACTTTAATCGTTCACTTTAAATCTTTATGCAGACAGACAGAATGAAATTTGCATAGTAACATCTTACGGATTCCATCTTATTGCTCGTTTTACATATTATAGTATTAAACTACCAAAAATAGAAGATTTAATTTTTTAATTTAACTTCATTGGCTTACTTTGAGAGAATACATTTTCTGCACAACCTCGCGCTATAACAGAACTTCACTTTGCACGATTCATGAAAGCCTAAACTATAAATAATGCTATATAACTTTTAACATTTTTATCAAAATATACACACAAATTTCAATACATATATACATACACACACGCACACACACATACGTATGTATTTTTCCTCCGAAATCACGAGAAAATGAGCAGTAATATAGTACCGAAATAAGTTATTAGAAAACCATATTAACCAAACCATATAAACCATAACCATATAATCCATAACCAAAACATTAAGTATTTAATGATTAACAAAAGAAAAGTAATGGTAATACCCAAAATACGAAAAGATAACAGTAATTTCAAAACTCCTTTCGTCTGAAAATGAATTTATTATTAATCTCTCTGCATGAGAACTATTTTCATGTATTTTACTTTCAATATCTTTAATAAATGGCCCACAAAGCATGTTCCTTTTTTCCGACCGAAATGCTTGCTTTCAAGTTTAAATATAAGACAAGATAAATGCAATCTATATTAAATCTTCCTAAGGACTGACGCAGCTGGAAATCTCTAGGATATATTTTATCACAAAAAATTATTGGCTCTTGTCACCTGATAAAATGCTGCTAATGAGCAAAGTCTGATTAACGAGAACGTAAAAGACCTCTTAATTTTAGATTTAATTGAAGATTTCATAAAGCAAAATGTGATTTCCTTTAACTTAATATTTCTAATTATTTTGTAAGAGAAGTTTTATTCTATGTAAAATTAAAAATGTGCGCTGAATTATTTGAATAATTTAAGGACATATCTAGATATGGTTGCGAGATGACAACTATATCTAGATAAGTTTTAGACTAAAACAATGAAATGAAAGAGGTTTCAGAAGAAATTAATTGAGTTTTGTATTCAGAAGAACAAACAAGAAAAAAAAAAAAAAAGAGCTCGCTCCGAAATAATATTTCGGAGATTTACTGCTGCTATATTTTACATTTTAAAGCTTTCGAAACATTATGTAAATACTTATATACATGCAATATAAAATGAGAAATATATGTTTTAACAAAAGCAGTTATAAAGAAAAATGTTTTTCATATTTTACACTGTATATTCAATTTGATGTATTTATTTGTATAAACAGAAATTATTATTATTATTGATGTTATTTTTAATAAAATTCTTCCATCGGTTTATCGTCTCTATCGAAAATTTCTGCATGAATTGAAATTTTTGAAATTTTTATTTGTAAAATTTTACATAAAATGAGAGTGCATCAAATTCTTTTTAAAATCAGTTAAAATGTTTTATTCTCAATGATAGATCAAAAGTTTTATTTAGCATATTCTCAATGAGTTAAGTTATGCTCAATGAGTTAAGTTATCTAACTCATTGAGAATATGCTGTTATAATTTTTCGAGTATAATGCAAAAACTTACATTATTTTCAGATTTGGAAGATGGCAGTTGAAAACAGCATCTTGTATAGTTTTCAGTTTTGGTGCTTGCTTTATAGAGCTATGAGGAGAGAAAAATAAATTTATTAAGAAACTGAATGATGAAGTTGAAATTCCAAAACATAGAAGTACAATACAGACATAAGAAAGATTCAAATAAAAATAATATGAATTTAATACAGTGATAAGTTCACTAAATGAAAATGTTTTTTAAATTTATTTTTTGAAATTACTGATTTCATTTCATACGCTAATTTCCAATAATGACAGTATGAATCTATAGTTATGCTTATTTTGCTAACAATAAAAAAAAATACAAAGATTTAAGATTGTCCTTTATTGTTAAGGATTTCATTTTAGATATAAGGAATTGAATCATATCGCTTAACCTTTTGAAAGCCAATTAGGAGGTGTCTACCAAAAATATCTTTGTAAATACATCGTGGTTGAAAACGCAGCGAAATACGCAGGACGGAACTATGTACCGGTTAAAAGATGTATATGAATCAATGATACCTAATACTCCTCTTTCTGTCACGAGATCAGAAGATTTCAGTTTGTTATGCCATAACTGCAATAGATGCTTCTGTATTTATTCAGTACAGGGATTAATATAATAAAAAAAAAACAAAATATTATCTAATTACAAAAAGGTTTTAACTCAGCTTGAAAATATATTTTATTGTTGCAAAACATCAGCCACGCTTAAAGTGCATCACATACAAACCGTATGTGTAAAACTGCATAATTCTCCATAATGTAAAAAGTAGTCACTTTGGACGATATTACTTGTTAGCAGGGGCTGGCTTTCAGCTAGAAACCAAGTGTACGGGATACTCAAAGATAGGGTAATTTATGACGAATGTTTTCGAGCGAGCTAAAAAGCAAAGCGAAAGAAAATGACTAAAAGTTCACCTTTCAAATATTTCAATTAATGCATAAGTAGACAATGAATGCATACCTATCCGAATAATGAAGATTTACTGAAAAATGTACCTGGAAAATAGGTGACATTCATTATCTGACATTTCTATTCTTATAATTTTTTCAGAGAGGAAATCAAGGATCAGAATACCTGACTAACGAAGACTGTTGAGATTAAATTGTAGAAAATCTGATGTAGACACCATATTTCACACTATTTCGTGCAGGCCTATTAAATTATACACATTTTTTGATACACTTCATTTAAACTTATTTTATCGAATTTCATTATAGATATATTCCTCATTCAATCAATCCAGTTTTCACTTCGCGGCAAGGCAAGAATAAACGAATTTGAAAAATTCAAAACATCTTCATTAAAAAGTGTAAAATACAGAAAAAACTAAAACACCAAATAGATTTAAAATCCGATAAAAAATAAATTGCTATTAGAACGCAACAAAAAGGTAATAAAAGTGAAAAAAAATTATAACTTTTGCAAGAAAATACAACAAAAATGTGATATTAACTTTCGGTCCCACTGGGCAAAAAAGACACTAAAGTTGATACACCAACTGACTTAACTCAAAATATTACTAAGTATTTCAAATCTAAACCAATAGCCGATTTCTTCAATTTTTAGCTTATTTGTCTTTGTCAAACCTCTAGAATGGATATAAATTTTTGTTCTCTGTTGGTCTCGGGATAATACAAGTTGGCCAGAGATAAACAGAACAGGACATAGAAAAGGAGAAACTGAAAATCGTTAATGTATTCGACGCAACAGCAAACAATTACATTTCAAATACCAAGAAGCGAGCTGTGACACACATTCATCTTGTCTTTTATTCGCTTGTTATTATATAATATTGCTTTACAGTTAATATTTTTTTTACTTGCTTTGGGTTTTGTTTATTAAACCTTTCCGTATAAGCTTCATGGGAACAAATAGATTGATTACATTTCAAAATAAATAAGTAAAAGGTACTCAAGTAATCCTATCTGAAACCATGGAATCATCTTTCTGTACATCAAACTGTTTGTCGAAAAGTTTTCACTTTTAGAAATGACCAGTTTCCACCTCACGGAACAAAATATTATCTGTCTTCTCTTCTTTCCGATATACACTCCGTCTGAGAGTTTTAGGATTTTTAAGATCTCTGCGGGGGAGTGTCGGATTGCCTTAGCTATCTTCCAAAATTTACATAATTCAATCTGAAGACTCTTAGAACTGAATTTAAAGATAGGCATTGTTTTATGCAAGCCTTAAATAGAAATTTTCTATTTGGCGCATGACGTATTATGATGTACACTGACTAATCTTATTTTTATGTTCTTTGTTGTCTGGTGTAAAGTTTTACATTTCTTTTCTTTGTTATGCTTTTATTTTATTTCTATATATCCCTATTTGAAATAAAAGAGTGTATTAAAATATTTCCTTCGCGTCTATAACTGTGTTAATATTTTCCAAAATAATGAAATTTTTCCAAAATTTAATGTCAGAGATACAGAAAGAAATAAGAGAAAAGAATGAGCCACGTATCTTACCAAAAAAGAGGAATTCCAATGTATATTTCTAATTTTAAATTTATTATTGCGACTTGATAATTATTTTAGAGTTTTATAAGTTGATAAATGTTGTCCCCTCAAGTTTTTTTCTTTGCCAGAACTCGACTTTAATAATATGCATTGTGCTAAAAATATTAACAATTATCCTTCTACCAGTCAAGAGAACTTCACAGTAGCAAAAATATGTCTCCTTTTGAAATGTGAAGTTTCTCTAAAGAACTGAATGATGTTAGAAAAAATTCGGTAACATCTAACGTTACCTCTGGATGTTACTTATGGCTTAGAAAGCTTTCACGAAACCAAACATCCCATATGTAGGCGGGAAATGCAAAACTACTTCAAATATTACAAAGTATTACTAAAAGAAATTTTTAAAAATATCTTTCTAGTGTAAAATGTAATGCTTAGAACTGTATCATTGCGTATGCTAAGAGTTTAAAAATCTTCATTTTTAGATAAGACATATGAAACAGACAGCAGAATTCTCTATCTGTTTAAGAAACTTCCAATCAGATCGATTTTAGATTGCTTGTTAATTTATGACTTTTCATGTAAAATAACGAATAATAATGAAAAATTACTGAAAGGTAATCATTATAATAATTTAATGAAAGATAATGTAAAACTTTATTAAAAGAATTCGACATTTAGTTATTTCGTTTCTTCCGTTGTAATGGCATCAGTTCTTTTAAACATTTTGTAAAATAGAAAAGCATTTTTAAAATAAAAATATAAATAAAACAAAAAACAAATGCGATATCTTTTTTTCTTTGAAAACTGTATTCATTTCATTTGTGAAAGCATATATTTAAAAAATCATATTTAAAATGTGTTTTCATTTGTGTGTAAACTTTTAAGCTAAGGGAAATGCAATTATTGAGTTTTACCTGAAGATATGGTCGCAATTAATCATAATTTGAATGTCTTTCTGGTGGTATTAGATTGATATTAATTTCTGGTGGTATTAATTGCATTTAAATATGAAATTTAAGGTATGCTATTAAACTATAAATTATCTCTAAAATGACGTAAAAGCAACTTGTAAACATCACTATACTAATTTCCCAGGAGCATCTTTATGTGTCAATGTAAGAAACATTCAGGTAACTCTATCGTCTTACAAAAGAACTTATCCTTAAAGTTTAAGCTAATATTCTATTTGCTTAATTTTACATCATAAGGGCCATATAATTACTTTCCTCAAAAATACTCGTACTTTCTATATATTATTTGATGTTTATCTGATGTGCAAATTTTAATGTTTTTCAAACTTATATTAAAAATGTCAGTTTCTTTTATATGTGCCGTCTCACATCCGAACCATTAAAGTAATTTGTTTATTCTTTATTCATTATTTTATAGTAATTGGAGAATCATGATTCTTAAAATTAATGAATTTAATCTCGTAGGAAATAAAAATTATTTTTATTTACACATAACCAAGTGCATCTTTGCCATTGTGAGATACAAGTTTGGTATGAAAGAATCTCTCTCATTAAAAAGATTAATTATGAAAAAGTGCAAACAACAAGAATTGCAAGCAAGCAAACATGCCTAAAATTACGTTTGTTTTTTGTTGGAATTTTTTTTAGTTCTACTGCATGCGTTATTCTTCACAGCTATTTCTTAGATATGCTAGCAAATTATCACCGTCGCGTCTGAATGATTTTTCTCATTTACTTTCTAAATATAATAGTAAATTAGGTTTTATAAATATCATCATAACCATGGTCCTTGTCAACTCAAAGAGGTGAAGTGCTTGAAAGAATAATATCCCTATCATTGGGATGTTCCAGTTGCATGGCCTCATCATTCTCCATTATTTGACAGAGGAAAAAAAGGCCAAGTTATAAGAAAGTAAATGTAGATGTGTAAGTTATAACAAAGGAAATCTTGCACCCCCTAAAACTAAAACTTTGCATCGAATATACATCTTTGAGTGAAGGTAGGTTTACAGGTTGAAGTTCTGTGATGATATAATAAAATCAGTGTTTTCTATAAGACTTATATTATTACTGTAAAAGCTTTGGAAAAGTTTCTATTGATTACAGGATTTTTTAAATTAATTTCCAGTTCCTTGATATATATATATATATATATATATCAAGGAAAAACCTATGTAAACAATATAAACGATTTGAGTATTATTTCGTATATTAATACAGAAAAGAATTGCAGCAAAACAGCAGTGAAAATATTACAAATCTCAAAAACAGGATTAAGAAACTGTTAAAGTTGGAATCTAAGAAACCAAACTTTTAACCTATAGATTCTTTGGCAATAGAATGTCCTGTAGTGGCGAATTCTCTTTGGTTTCTGACAATCTGAAGAAATTGTAATTTTCTCACTAGTGTATTTCTCAGTTACTGTAGAAAGTGACGAATCTTAAGAACTAGTTAGCGAATAATCGCTTAAGTTCGTGTAACAAGAATCAGCAAGATGGAAGAGTAACTAACCCTTTATTATTAAAATAAGATTTAACAAAACTCCGCCTTAGAGTGTACAATAAAAGCCGACACTTGGGCTTGAACTTAAGAGACTAAGAAATAAAATAAAAATAAGATTAACTAAAGAGATATAGCCGAAGCTATTAGGATTCTAATCGAGTTGGCCACTTACCTCTAGTTGACTACGAAGCTTATGAAGGGCCTGAGTACGGCCGAGCGTAATAGCAGCTTTGAGAGAGAGAGAGAGAGAGAGTAGCCAAAGGCAGACGCCCGCAAATCAGAAACTCTCTAACTCATTAAGTAGACTTCGCGGTTTAAATACCGCTCCTCCTCATTAAGTATTCAGAGTGATTCCAAAACTACGTTCTGGCCGGTAGTAGTAAGTTGAAGTTAAGAATTTAATAGGAAAGGAACTTTAACTTAAAATTTAACTGTTAATAAAATTAACATAATCCTTACAAAATAATCTAGGCACTGAAGGTGGCACAGGCTATCTGCTTGAGTATATTTTACATTTGAAGTATTTAGCCCGGAAGACATCGTCTTTCGGTTTCGCTTTAAGGTTCGAACTGAGTTCCTAATTACTATTACTGAATGTTTATTTTTAGCTATGTTGACATTTTGAACGATTTTCTGCCTTCAGAATTACGATAGTAGTTCAAAGGGGATTAATTTATCATCCTTTCCATGTGCAAGCATGTAAAGATTGGATTATTGAGATACGATTGAAAAAACATGGAGGAAATTGGAGAATAAACACCTACTGAGAAATGTAATGAAGATTTCCTAGCAAGCTAACAAATAACAGCTAATGGAATACACGTTGGACGAGAAGAGAAGTCAAATGATTGTTAATCTCTTACTAAAATTGGTAGATATTTGGATGCTATTGGTCAGATAGCGCATTATAACATTAGAAAATACATTTATGACCTTGGAATGGAGGGTAATCGATTACAAGATCTAACGCAGTTATAACAAATCATACATAATATTGAACTTTAATAGTGATGTTCCGGTAACATACGTAAATTTAATATATAAATTACAATAAGTAAGACTTACCAGCACTGGGTAAGGACCCTTTAGCTGCATCGTACTGAGTGTAATACTAATTAAAACAGAAGAAAAGTACTAGTTTTCTTTTTTCTTGTTCTCTTTTGATTTGTTTTTCTCATACTTATGAAAGTAAAGGATTTTGAATTTTTAATGAAAATGTATTTCAGAGGTTGATAGAACAATAAAAATCACGTTTTTTGTTAACTGCAGCATTTTTTACTGAAATTTTGATCCGAATAACTGATGTAAATTAGTGGTTAACATCAGGCTAATCTCATGAAAACGACAATGAGTGCGTTTGAACTGCTATATTTTAAAATAATGCAGTCCCTTGTCATTTAGTAAGAGTTTTAGAAATTAAAAGTTGTTCATTTCTTTAATTTTCAGATTCCATTTTAAAACACAGCAGACAATTAAACGGTTATTGAATCAGTGGGTGAAGATGTATGACTGAAATTTCTATACTTTGTAAAGACATTAGGATTTTTTGGAAACAGGCAAGATGAAAAATGAGCAAGCGCCTTCGTCGGTAATCGAACCACGGAACTCTGAAATACCGGCTTAGTGTGCTGACCACTACACCACGAAGGCAGGCTAGGAAGACGGGAGAAATACCTTATATACTCCCCCTTTTAAAGGGCGATTGGGGTTGTTAGGGGACCCAATCGCCAAATCCTGGGTGTAGAGATTCATCATCCACGACCCTTTTAGTTCGGGCGCCGCTTTAGAGATATTAGGATTATTTTTTGAAGCAGGTAAGATGAAAACTTAGCAACCGCCTTCTCCGGGAATCGAACCACGGACCTCTGGAACACCGGCTCAGCGTGCAGAACCACTACCCTAGGAAGGCAAGCTAAGAAGGCGAGAGAAATACCTTATAACTTGTATAAAGATTACTTACATTGTTCTCAGCATATGCAGCCCATAAAAGGCTCCATCTTCAATTTCAGTCAGTTCTTTTACACGATCAAGTACCCTGAAAAGTATGAGAACGAAATTCATAAAAAAGTACCAAATTAATAAATAACATAAAAAGTATAGAAAAAAATTGCTTTAGTTATAATTTCTTTTATTAGACAAAGAGAAGAGATATACATATACGCGATTTAACACGTTTTAAGTATTTTGAAAAGTACTGTACAATACAAAAAACCGGTTATGGTAGCATATCAAGAGTAGAATTAAAAAAACTGTTGTACAACTGATAAAGTAAATGCTCAAACCTCTTTCAAAGTTTTTCACAATCTAATGTTTCAGCTTCGAAAATATTTTCCAACCCTAGCTGAAAATTACATAGTTTTTTCAAACGGTTTATTTGCATAATACGGGGAAAAACTGAAAAGCAAATATATCACTTGAATTGTTTTAGATATTAAAAGAGGCTTATAAAATTTGTCTGACAGAGTAAGAAAAATACTAATTTCTGTAAAATTCTGCTAGTATTTTCTATAATCATTAATAACTGTTTTTAATAAATTAGAAAGTAAGAACAGTAAATTTATTTAAATATAAATTACAGTTTAATAACAGATGCTTAGATGATTAAAAGCACTCGGTAAATTTTTATCAAATTACTATTAAGTACATAAAGCAAATAAATTCTCAAATGCATTATTTAATGGGAAACTATTTTAAAATAACCAGGATACTTAGTTTTTAAACTTTATTTCAAGATCTTATTTAAATAATATATAAGGTAGTACACCTTATATATTATTTAAATAAGATCTTGAAATGTACACAGAGACAGCACAATGACTACTGAAATTAAAAAATTAAAAGAAGCTACGCATTCTTCTAACAGCTATTACATGCATTTACTATAGAATTTGTTGTTAATTTCTATTACCGCCCAGGCGGGATCGTGTTAGTGTCGTTGACTGAGGCACCGAATGGAGGTGCTCGAGTCCCGGAGAAGGGATGGATATTTGTAAAGTTTTAATCACATTTGGTTTCGACTACGCGGGACTGGACGTCGAAAGGGACAATTCTCAGACCCACACATTTTCAGAAACCCACGTAGCTAGGTTACTATTTTCACTTTTTACAAAGACTTGAACGCCAAACAGTAATCGATTATCGCTCAGACTGGGATCATGTGATCCTTCAGAAGCAGAATTTTCGCCTGATTGGTTGATCTTTAACCGAGACAGAATTCCAACAGAGACATTTTCGGCGAGTTTTGAAAAAATCCTGCATAACCGCAACATCACTTTCCCAGCTAGGCGGGACTTCGCTTCCAGCGGGGCTCTTTTTTCTAGGAATCTTCCCGTTTAAACCAGTGCTATCAGAATTTCATTTCTCAGAAAAGTCCCGTTTAGCAGGACTGTCGCTAGAAGTGACAACCTCTTAAGTGTCCGCGCGGCAAGGGAGAAAATATATGGCGAACTGAAATTCTCTCGAAAGGCTGGTGGCTGAAGGTCGAGACCCTCGAAGCCTTCCTTCGAAACTCCATCCCGAACAAGCAATTAGCAATTAGCGTGGCAAGGCGATACTTGCTTACCCAACTGGCAAACACCTGGTACCCCTTATGCTTTGTGCAGTTCTGTTAATTTTTAGTCAGTTTTAAGGAGATTATGAAGCATTTTAATAAATAATTACTAATAAACTGAAATATCAAATTCTTTAACTAGGAATGTATTAAATTTACATTAGTAAAAATATTCGAGTAAAGTTTTAAAAAGAAGTCAGCATACTTGGAGATTCTTGCAAAGAAATTAGGGAAGTGCATTAATAAAAATGTTGAAAGACATCAGAAATTTATTTAATTTACATTTTTATTGGTATTTCTTTTATTTTTTGTAATGTTTATACAATATCACTTTATTACCCCTTTTTGTATTTCATTGCTAATAGTACAGAAGTCCATTTTTTCCTCATTATGCAAAAGAACTAAATTAAGTATCTTTCGAAGACAATAAAAATTTTAAATATGTTTAAAAGTTCGCAACTTGTAGTTAAATTAATAATAAATCTTAAATCCACTGTTTATTTGCTCAGTTTTATTCACTTAACTAACTGCATAATTAAATTAAATTCGGATTTATAATTACTGAAATCAAAAATCGGCATATTCAATAGGGAGCAAAAAGGAAATCAACTTATGAAAATATATAGTAATAAATACATAGTTTATACCCTTTTCAAATTTTAAAACCAAAATTAATTTAAGAATAATAAAAATTTCAAAATTTTTTTTCACCTCAGACAAGTGTAATTAAGTGCTTATAAGTGTAATTAAGTGTGTTGTGTCAAATCTGCTTCAAAGAAATAAATTTTTGTTTAAAATGACGGTTGATCTATATTTTGGAGTAAAAAAAAAACTGAATGTATTGCATTTAAAAAAAGGAATTTTAATAGTTTGTAATTAAAAACTCTAATTTGATGTCACATACGGAGAAGATTTAATAAAGATTGCATTATCATATCTCTCTTGAATATTTGATCTTAGACTCATAATTACAGTTTAAGGAAAGAATAAAAAAAGAATTTCAGTCTATATCTTTGATCATGCGACACTGTTTATGAAATATATACTTAACAAATTTATATTTATGCGGCTCTTTGCAAAAAAAAAAAACTTTAATTAGCAAGTTGTTTCTGACATTTTACCTATGTTCTTTAGAAAAATTAATCAATCTAAAAAATCAGCTTTCATAATGTGTGCAAAAGGCTGTTTCATAATGTGTGTAAGGTTCATTTTTTATCTTTCTCTTTTTTTTTTCCTTTTAGAACTTTTACGAGATGAGAAAAAAACACATATATTTATTTAGAAATTGTATAAAAGCTTAAATTTATTAGTTAAAATTTTTGAACTGGAAATTTATGTTCTTGGTATCTTCTGGAAATTTGCATTTAAAATTCACGCTTTCGAATTATAAGCTTTAGCACAAACACTGTGAGGAAAAGACAGTTTCTTTAGCATAATTCGTATATCTTCTCCAAGTAACCTTAGAAGAAAGAAAATTTGAATTAAATAATGCCTCAAATGATTTTTATTGCACGTCAATATTTTTCTCCTTTTCATTTTTTCCCTTTATTTTTTTGGTTTGTTTTCCACTAATTCAATTATGAAAAATATTTTCCATTCGTCATTTTTTCTGGGAGGGGATACTTGAAAGCCTACATTTTGTATATTTTTACTAAAAAGTGAAATACCAACAAGTCACTAATATGCCATATTCTGAAAACAAAACTTATTTGATTCATTTCATAAGTTATGAGATTAAAACCAATTTTCAAGATAGCCATGAGATTAAGACAATTTTCCAATTCCATCATACAGTTCCACTAAACCACCCTGCAACACTTTTCAACAATAAAATTAATATCATAGCATCAATAAAATGCATTTCAGCAATAAAATTAATATCACTTATAAATCATCTGTTCTATGTGTGATTGAATTTTATGCTAACATTCTAGTTTTTTATTAAATAGCATCCAGTATTCGGACAAATTTAAAATATTCCAAATATCTAGAACTGAAACCACAACCCACCTGGTAATCGAAAGTTATTGATAAATACATTGTCTTTTAATTGCAAGACAAATTCTTAGTTATTGTAATACAAGTGAAAGAGCTTTTATTTATTAATTACAGTACTTTATTTTAACACAGGCTACACAGTTAAAAATAAGTGAAAATCAACTAAGTAAGAAAAAGTATCATTAAGTAAATACATTTCACTCTAAAAACCATCATGCACAAAAAACAATGCTGCCCTCTTATAGGAGGCTAATTTGACTTAACGAAGTCAAATTCTTTTAGATATTTTTAGATTCGTGTGTGATAGAAAATGAATACATTCGGCTAAGCAGTTCATCATCGCAAACAAAGAACAGTGAGCCGACATACATTACGTAACTACGTTTCGTTAATGTTTAAAGATTACACATTTGCTGAATACTATAAGTCAATCTATATATTATACATATCCTTTATATTAATTTACAGATTTCTTTAAAATACATCTTACTCAGTCATCTCAGTTAAATTATATGTAATGTATTATCATTTTATTTAATTTAAATAACTAAAAAGATAAAAAGTAGTTACACTTAATCAAATAAACTAAACTCGTTGTTAATTATAACAAAATTTAATTTTGCTTGTTGTGCCATGTACGGGCCTAAAAATGAGAACGAATTATTTCAGTTTCGAGCATGTGGAGTTCGGCATTATGTTATATGCAGCTGCGTTTGAATCGAAATTCTCTCTACTGCAGAAATTGCTCATTTGGATCTGCAGTTGCTGAAGATGGGAAAATTTGGTGCTGTTATCTTTGCTTTAATTGTCGGCTGCAGATGTTAATAGAATTTGGGAGAAGTCTGATTATATTATGCTCTAAAGACAATTCCTCCAGTCAGACTTTATTGTACTAAAATCAATATTTCAGTCACAGTGTATTTGTTGCAGACTGAAGAAGCATATAGCATCACAAGTGCATTAACTGCAGATAATAAGATAAATTAAGAAATTAGTCAATGCAAACAACTAAGTCGTTAAAAACTAAATCTTTTCAAATCAATATTTAGCAATAGCTTGGTCGGGTTGAATGAAATACTCTTTTACTGACGTTATTGAAATCTAATATATTGGCAATTGATGATACAACAAGCGAGGATTGGTCTCAGGAAAGATTTTTGGGTGGGGGGGGGCTAAGCGATGAATTTGGATTTATCAGATTGTGGCGAAGCACAGTACGATTATATCCTTAAGAGGATAAGCCTTCGGGCCAGATTTTATAACAGAAACTGCTCGCATTTACGTACCCCATAAGTGAAATCTTCAAGACACTCATCCTGAGATTTGAATCTGAATCAAACTACCAGTGTTCTGTGTGAGTGTCTCCTCGGACGCTGGTGTGTAACTTTCTATAGAAAACTGACTTTTATGCATTACATGTGGAAAGTAACATACAGCCAGCTTGTTTGCTGGAAACTACATTCATAAAAAACTAACAGTATTTTATG